GCGCCGGGCTCCACGGCCGCCGGCGGGGCCGAGCTGCGCGTGGGCGAGCTGTGCCTCGTGGAGCTGGGCGGCCGCTGGCACCGCTGCCGCGTGCTGAGCCGCCGGGAGCGCGATTACCGCGTCTTCCTGCTCGATGAGGGCCGCGCCACCCCCGCTGCCGCCTACTACCTGGCGCGGGGCCCCGAGGAGCTCTTCTGTCTGCCGCCCGAGGCGCTGGGCTGCATCGTGGCCGACGTGGTGCTCGTCGGAGGTGGGGAGCTGCAAGGTGCCACGTGTGCCGTGAGGGCTGCGGAGTTCCTCACTTGCCTGCATGGCAGGGAGGTGTCGGGCCTGGTGCGGGAGGTGATGGTGCCGCAGCACCTCGTGGTGCTCGAGCTGCCCCAGCTCGCAGCCCAGATGCACCACCTGGGCCTGGCCAAACTGGTCACCTCCAGCTGGTTCTGCCTGCTGCTCAAGCGCTGTCTGGCCCACATCTGCTTTCATGGCCAGCTCAAACCACAGCCTGTGGTGCCCCAGCTCCCCCACGTCTTCCCTTCGGGTCAGCCTSTGTCGCCGGTCATGGATTACTTCTACCCACAGCTTCAGCTGGGAGTGACTGAGCCAGTKCTAGTGACCCAGGTCTCCAACCCACACCACATGTATTGCCAGTTGCGGAGCCTGTCGCAGGAGATCCATCGCATTTCTGATACCATGCACCAGGTGTTTGACGGAGCTGCTTGTGAGCAGGGAATACCTCCCAAACTGGGCTCGCCCTGTGCCGCCCGTGGCATCAGTGGCCACTGGTACCGAGCCCTCCTGTTGGAGGTTGTCGTGAGGGAGAGGGACCAGCAAGTGGCCCAGGTGATCTTTGTGGACTACGGCAGGAAGGAGTTTGTGACGGCCGCTAACCTGCGTCATTTACCTGCTGAGTGTTTTCGCATGCCTGTTGTGACTTACCCGTGTGCCCTTCGGGGTATCTCACATGGAGGTCATGGCTGGTCCCCGTCTCAGATCAGCGAACTGAAGGCCTTGTTGTTAGGCAAGCGGGTGAATGCTCACATCGAAACATTTAACTCCTTCGAGCACCTCTATTATGTGAGTCTGTATGGTGACGATGGCATGAACTTGAACAGTCTCTTCGGGGTGCAGGCTCGTTGTCTGGCGAGCAGCCTAAGGCAAATCAGGCAAACTGAGACTCGTGAGCAGGTGGGAGTAGAGGATGATATGGGCTCACCACCAGGAGCACCTTGTGCTGCTTTAATGCACAGACATTTGGYATCTGTTCCTATAGTTGGTGTGCGTTTGAAGTCAGGTATGTTCTATGACGCTCAGATATCCCATCTCCTAGATCCATCTGAGTTCTGGTTGCAGCTCCAGGAGCATCAGCAGCTCTTGAGCCAGCTTACACAGAATATGTGGAATTTTTACTCCCAAGCCACAAACTGGGATAACGTTATGCAGGACTTGCAGCCTGGATCCCTTTGTACTACCAGGAAAAATGGTGCCTTTCATCGAGCTGTGATCACCAGGATGCTGGGCAATGTTGCAGAAATACATCTGGTAGACAGAGGCAACATGGAAACYGTGGACTATGGTGAGGTAAAGCAGCTGCTCCCCAAGTTCAGGGAACTACCTGCGTTAGCTCTGAAGTGCTGTTTGGCAGGCGCCTCCCCTCTGAGGGGCAGCTGGAGTGAAGAATCTGTGTCTGCCTTCAGAAAGATTGTGCTGAACAAAGTGTTAAAGATCTGTGTTTTAGGCACACAGGGTGATAAATATGTGGTTGAAATTCATGATCAGTCCCAATTAGGAGAAAAAAGTGTAAGTAAAATCATGACCCACGGAGGATATGCAAAATGCCAGAGGTCTGAGATACCTGAGATGCCCCAAAAATCATCAGATCAGGTTGCAAGGCAAGATTCATCTTCAGGATGTGATGGGGTGGAAAAGCAAATAAGTATGGCAGAAAGGCTCAGAGGAGAATCTGATCTAAAGAGAAATGGTAGAGCATTAAATCCATATATGACTGTGGYCCGAGGTGGTTCTGTTGCCCTTCACAGTTCAAAAACTAGTGACTGTGTTCCTGCTGAGGAAAAATGTGAGGGCCCACAAAGCCCACCTGCCTGTCTTGCACAGAATTACCTGGAGCTGAAGCCAGGTTCTTATGGAGGGCAATTGGAAGTTGGAAGTACAGTTAATGTAGTTGTATCCTACGTTGAAAGTCCTGGTTATTTTTGGTGTCAGTTAAGTAGAAATTGTCAAGACCTTAAGACGCTAATGACTGAAATTCAGGAGTATTGTAAGAATTCATCTCAGCCACACATCTGGCCAAATCCTGTGTGTTTAGCCCAGTATTCAGAGGATGAAAAATGGTACAGAGCTCTAATTGTTAGTGAATTTACTTCTGCAAAACAAGTAGAAGTAATATATGTTGACTATGGCAACAGAGAGTTAGTCTCTAGAGCAAATCTCCGCTCAATAAATGAAAAGTTTCTTAACCTAAAGGCTCAGGCTTTCAGGTGCAGCCTTTACAACTTAATCCAACCGAATGGTCTGGATCCATTTGTTTGGGATGAAAAAGCAATTCTGGCATTTCAGGAGTTTATCGATGCCTCATCATGTCAGTTGGAGCTGAAGTGTACAATATTTGCCTTGGCTTCGATAAACAATAAAGAACTGTTTAATATTGTGGACTTAATGACACCTTTTCAGAGTGCTTGCCACTTTTTGATGGGAAAAGGTTTGGCTAGACCTTTATCACCTCAGAAACCTCTGGCATCCTCTGTTCAGCTTCATTCTTACTATTATTCTATGCATGATATCAAAATTGGGAGTGAGGAAGACATCTATATTACGCATGTGGATGATCCATGGAAATTTTACTGCCAGCTTGCAAGGTGTACGGATGTCTTGGCAAAGCTTGCAGAAAACATTGGTCATCTGAGTAAAATAGTGACTGCCTCAAAAACCTTGCAGAACCCTGGAAACTTGTGTCTTGCAAGGTATAGTGACAATCTCTGGTATAGGGGAGTAGTTAACAAAACAAAACCCAACAGAGAGGTCTTCTTTGTGGATTTTGGGAACACAGAGCTGGTAAAGAAAGAAGATTTGCTTCCTATACCCAGTGGTGCTTATGATGTCTTGCTTTTGCCAATGCAGGCCATCAAGTGTTCTTTATCTGATATATCTACTGTTCCAGAAGAAGCTACGCTGTGGTTTAAACAAGCTGTCCTAGAAAGGCGATTGAAGGCAGTAGTGGTAGCAAAGGAGTCTGATGGCAAACTGCTGATTGAGCTGTTTGATGGTAATACTCAAATCAATGCAAAATTGAAGGAGGGGGTAAGATTGGCGAACAATGCAGAACTGAGTAGGCATGTGGAAAGTGAAGCGTTGGGTTCTAGAAAGAGAGATGGGAAAGAGAGGAATGGAATGGCAGAGTTGTCATCTTCGTGTTCTGGAAGGCTTCCTGAAAGAAAAAAAGGGAGCCCTGAAGCCCAAGGAGGAGAGGGGAGTAGAAAAACGCACTTCAAAGAAAAAGATAAAATGCTCTTCCAGAGTGTTAAAAAGAGGGAACAAGCACCTGAATTAGTGAACCCTGAAAAGCAGAGCAGTAATAAAGATGCTCTGTTACTAAGTACAGTGGAGAAAAGAAACGGCTCTTCTCCTGTCAGAAAAGATAAATCATCATATGTTAAATCTCATACTGAAAGCCAATGTATAACATTCAGAAACATATCTGATCTACCTCAGAAGAATATAACGCCAGCTCTTAAAGTGCTCGTATATGTTTCTCATGTGAATGATCCTTCAGATTTTTATGTTCAGTTGGCAAGTGATGAGTCTCAACTTAATGGTATTTCAGAAAGCTTAAACAGTAAGAYAAGGGTGGAGAACCCTTGTGGGCAGCTCTTGAGAGCAGGAGACTTAATCAGTGCTGTTTATTCAGAAGACAGCTTATGGTATAGAGCTGTAATAAAAGATAAGTCTTCTGATAATTTGATAAGTGTACAATATATTGATTATGGTAATACCTCAGTAATTAATGTTGGTCAAGTATGTAGACTCCCTAAAGACGCATCATCTATTCCAGCAATGGGTATTCACTGCTTCCTAGGTGGACTTAAAGAGGAAAAACCTGCAAATTGGTCAGAGAAAGGAAAGTTTGACTTCTCCCAGAGAACGAGTGAAGTTCAGATAACATGTGAATTTGTACAGAAAGTTGAGGATAAATGGGAAGTTATCCTCAGTGACAATGAAGGTATAATAACGGTGGAGTTAGTTAATGAAAATCTTCCAAGYGGGGAAAAATCTCTTTCTACAGAAGTACTTGACAAAAGAGAAAATGGTGTTGAAATGGTGAATGTGTATGAGCCTTTGCCTCCTAATGAGCAAAATGAAATTTCCAGTGTAAATGGTTCTGAATCATTTATCTGGAGGATACCAGAGGCAGGTCAAACTGTAGAAATTTATGTCACAGTAGTAAAGGGTCCTGAGTATTTCTGGAGTCAGTATGCTGATGCAGAAAACCTAAAATACATAGAGGAAAAAATAAAGGAAGCTGAAAATCTTGGACTAAATTCCATGGATGGTTTCAGATCTTGTGTTAAAGTGGGTGATGTTTGTATAGCAAAGTGCAGGGAAGATGGGAAGCTCTACAGAGCGAAAGTCAGCGATATAAAAGGTGATAATTTAGTTGTTAGATATGTGGATTATGGAACTGAGGAAACAGTTAACATGGAGATGGTCATACAGATGCCAAGTGAATTGCTCAAAATACCTAATCAAGCATTTTTGTGCTGTCTGTCTGGATTTAATTCGTCTGAGGGCTCCTGGCTTAGTGAAGCAGAAGTTAAGTTCTGTGAAATGACTGTAGAACTGTTACTGGAAGCTAAAGTAATAGAAACTCGGGAGGATGGAGCTTCTGAAGTTCCTCTGTCTGTTGTTGAGCTGGAAACTTGTGGGAAGAGTATTAATGAAGACATGAAATGTTTTTGGAGGACCAGTACAGGAGGTGGTGACACAGCTTTCTTAAACCTTGAGAAATCTTTAGAGGAGAACACAGGATCAAATAATAATATGGATCTTTGTTTTGAAAAAGAAACTGTTGCTGCTTGTGGAGCACTCCAGGAAGAAAGTCAAAGTGKATATGTCTTGGGTGCAGCTTCTGTGTGTTCAGATGATGTAGAGGCAAATATAAAAGTGGAAGTTGAAGAATGCCTGTCTGTGAAAGCTGYTAGTGAATGTAAAACAGCTGAGCATCAAAACAGCTTTGATAAAGAGACTTCTGGATTTGAAAAAGAGAGTGATGAAGATATGTCACTGGAACCAGCAGAATGCTGCTCTTTGTGTGTTTTGGGAAGTGATGTGAAGGCTGTAGAACAAGAGCTACCTGAGGTACCACTTGCAGATGATGCTGAACTGAAAGCAGGACTGACGGGCTCTGCTTCAGCAGTCAGTCCTTTGGAAAATAAACAAGAAGAGCTGCTAGGATGGCCCATGCTCCAGATGCAGCCTTCCATGGGGGATGAAACAGGGTCATTACTGGAACTGGAGCAATTACAAATGGACTCCCCGTACGATGATCTAAAAGAGTTCATGTTGGAGCTGGGGCCGTTTTCAGTGCTATCCTCACCTAGGAACAAGATAAAGGAGGCTCTGGAGATGGACTCAGCTGCAACGTGGACACCTCCAGGCAGGGAAGCAAAAGAGGAGATGCTGGAGCTGGAATCATTGGAAGTGCCACGCTCAAATGATGAGACAGGGGAATTGGCAGCTGTGAAAACTTCAGAAATAACACCACCACCATCTTGTGAGAGAGAGAAGTTGGCGCCTCCCGTTAGCAATGGAGAGAAAACCTTAGAACTATTTCCATCCGATCCACAGCTTTCTTTGGGAGATAAGACACAAGCACTGGAATTGGATTTGCCTGTGGTTCATGAAGTGGAAGCTCTGCAAAATGATTGGATGGAAGTAGATCCTGCCCTGATGTTGCCGTCTTTTGGTGGTGGAGCTGAGAAACAACTGGAACTAGAGACCCATGACATCCAGTCAGTGTTTGGTGTGGAAATTAAACAGCTTCTCGAGTTGGTGCTGCCTGCTGTGCAGCCTCCTCAGGAGGATGGAGATGAGGACTTGCTAGGGCTGGAACACAGCAAGTTGCTGACTTGTGCAAAGAGCAGAAGTCAGTTTTCATTCCTTAGAACAGACCCGATGAATCGGAGACCTGTTTGCACTGCAAAATCATGTGGCTGCAAAATTGAGAAATGCAACGAATGGCAAAAAAAGGAAGATGGCAGTTCAGTGGAGGACTGGATGAAACGAGACTTGTCTACTGCTTTAAAAGAATGTGAAAGTGAACTTCTAAATGAACAGGCTTTTGAATGTAAGCCTGTGGGTGAAGAAATAAGAAAAAAGCAAAAGGAAAACTTGGCTGTCTGCCATGCAGGTAAAACTTTTTTTTTTGGGGGGGGGGGGGGGGGGGGGGGGGGGGGGGGGGGGGGAGGAAGGGGGAGAGGGATAACTAACCAAAATGTAGTATATGCTTGAGTATGCTACATATATCACAGTAGTATACATTGTAGTATACTACAAAATGTAGTATACATTCAAAGATGAAAACCTCTTTTTTTCCCCCACCCCCAGCAAAAGGGGAAAACAAACGAACCAAAAAAAAAAACGGTTATTTTTATTCCCTTGTACTCTCTTAGGGCTTTAGTTTAGTCTCAGCCTTCTTTGAAGGGTTGTGGGCACCACAGAATCACAGAACACCAGAAGGTTTGTGGTATCTCATGGATAATGTGGCAGCCTAATAGGAGATAGTTTTACTTCGAGAATTTTACAGTTTTATCAATGGAGAGTATTTCTAAACCAAAAATTCCTTCTCAGGAGTATTGAGGATGATGGGATTTGATAGTTTTTTAAAAAAAGAGGGAGGGGGAGTGGGAGCTGGGTTTGAGGCAGGTAGGATCTTTTGTATTTCTTTGTCCCTACACATTCTTTTCCTGATAYGTCATTGTTTTTGTAGAAGACAGTGAATACACTTGTAATCTAAAGGGCTTTGCCATTGGTTCCAAGTGCATGGTGTGGACGGCTCTGAAGTGGTGTGAGGCTCGCATTTTGGAGGTGTCTGAAAAAGGTACCAGGGTAAGTACAACCTGAGTGCTCTTTCTGCATTCCGAAGAACTGATTCTTTTTGTGTCTACCTTCAAATTTGAATTATTTTGCAGAAGTTAGCTACAGAAATGAAAATATTTAGTACTGAAAATGCTGATTCTGGACTTCCAGACTACATGGAAACAGTTGCCTAATACTGTGTGGATACTGTTTGTCACCACTTAATTCACATCTTCTTCCCTTAAGATGAGTGGAGAAAAACAGAGCCAAATCTCTGTTTTAAGGTGTATTCTTCCCATGACAACACTATGTAGCTCTGTTATTTCTGCAATGCAAGTCAATGTTTTGTTGTGCAGCTTTTTTACTGTTAAAGGCCTATGTTAAAGACTGGTGTTAAACGTTTGGCATCATTTTACTGACACTTTTAAACATTAGTCTTAGAGCAATAGAAATTTAGGAAGATGCTTCTAGTGTAACTTATTTTCCCCCAAAATGTCTATTATTTATATTTTTGTTGAGTGAACAACTCAATCCAAGGTGACTGGAGGGAGTTAGCTTTAATAAAATGGACTGCCTCTTTCTACTGCTGTTTCCCAAGATATGGAATAAATASGTAAATGAGAAATAAAACTCTTTGCAGGTATCTACAAATTTTAGATATATATGAAATACATGTATATCACTTAGGCTTTGTAGCCTTAAATTGCAACTAAAAATAATCATTTCATAGAAGGAACTCTGAAGATGGGTGCCTGAGATCAGAAGCCAACTTCTGGGCTAGTAGAGGTCTTTGAGCAACTAAATGTAGCCCGGGCTGCAGTCAGTGGGTGAATGTTGGTACTAACACCCAAGTTAGGCATCAGATAATCATGTGAACAAGGTTCCTGCTGGTTCAAGATCTTGTAGGTGTTTTCTAGCCCATGTCTCCTTGGGTTCTTGGGTTAGGATCTTTTTGGTCTAGAGGGAGCCTTGAGTTGGGTACTTTAGCAGGAGCTATGTGTGAAATACTTAAATTTGGGTCTGTGGATCAGGTTTAGTATAGATACTCAGCTTAACAGTTAGTTCTTGCACGTTTGGAATACCTGCGTTAAAAGCTTTCTCTAAYATCTACAATCTTCAATTGTATTTTGTCCACCACTGTGTCTTGCAGAACATGTATTTGCAGAGTGTGTTTTCAGCATTCATGCTTGTGCTACATGTGAGCCCACTCTTTCTGTACAGGTTTTGAATCTTTCCAGTGGCAGCGAGGAGCTTGTGGATCCTGAGAACGTGTGGAATGGTATTCCTGACTGGGCTTGCAGACCATCTGAGGTATGGTGGGGTAGTAGCTGAGAACTAGGAGAAGGGAGGGGAAAATGGAAAAAGCAGACTTATTTAAAATGAATGTTTTCTGAATTTAGCACCATGAGAATAAATAGAAATACTTTGCCTTTCTAAGAGGTCCTGTTGGTTTTTGTTCTTTAAAAGCCTTGTGTAAATCAATAAAACTGTCAGTCATTGGGACWAAGGACAGTGTGTTCAGTCTAGGAATACTTCAGTGAACAGCACTTGAATGAAGAAATGTTACTGGAAGACTACTCTTAATTGTGAAAGTTAGAGTAATGCTGAGGTCCATGAATTCTCCTAAATGATGCTAGCAGAGTACATAACTGGTCTGTTTTGAAAAATTCTTCGTAATTACTTAGTAATAGAAATGATCTTTGAACAGTGTTTTCATGAAACACAAACCAGTGAAGAATTTCAGTCTAGAATCTAAATCTCAGTTGAACAGCCGTGTTACTGAAGATGATGGTAGAATGAATTTTCAGGTCATTATTTCTATATAACTCTTGCATGGAAGCAAAAAAGGGACAAGGCACCAGGAGTGAGCTATAGCAGAAAAACAGTGCTGAGTCCAGCGCTGCTGCTGTTCCAAGTTAGTCTAGTGTTTAGAGGAATGCATCAGCAGAAAACGATTTTTGCAGTTGTGCCTGTGCTTCCTAACAGAATTCCCCCTTCGTTTAGGCAGTTGCCAATGCAACAGGTAACTTGGAGTCCTTAGTAGAGGAGTCAAAACTACAAGGTAAGACTACCTTAAATCTACCAAAGGGCTTGTGTGCTAGTTCTGGATGCATTTTAATTTTCTGAGTTTGTTTTAGAAATTCAATTTGAAATGTCTGTTTTGATTTTTAAAATCTAATATTGTAATGACTGTACCTGTAATTTTTAGTGACTTGTTCGTATGCTGTCAGCATAACAGTGGCYGTGAAAACTGCTGGAGTGTTTTGAGTGGAAATCAAATGGGCATATATTTGTTGTCCTTTGCATTGAGCCCTCTGGACAAGCTGGAGAGAGGTCAGAGCAGAGGTTCTCGTGGGGCTTTAGGCATGTTTTTTCTTATTCCTGATGACTTGGCTGCTGGGCAGTAATGATGAGGATTGAAGTTCTGAAGTCAAATGCCCAGATCCCTTAGTGGATCGTGGTCTCTGACTCTCAAAGTGAAAWAACTTCTCTTAATTATTGCAAAAATAGCTTGAGTAGTGGGTGTAAATCTTTTAATGAAATTTTGGAGTGTTAACGAAGAACCTAAGTAGCCTGTGCCTCAGCAAAAAGTTAGTAGAGGCTTTATGGCTCTGCACTTGCTATTCATAGAATGTGTAGATGCCTAAAATAGTTGAGGTTGGAAGGGAACTCTGGAGGTCACTTAGTCCAACCCACTCACTACCCCAAGCAGGGTCAGCTAGACCAGGTTGCTCAGAGGCAGGTTCAGTCAGATTTTAAATATGTTCAATGCTGGAGATTCCACAACCTCTGGGCAACCTGTTTCAGTGTTTGACCAGTGTTTGCCTGAAGGAAAGTGAATTAATAACAGCATTGCATTTTCAGTGACTGAATTGGTGACTATTTATATACAGCTGTGCTAATCACTGTCTAGTTTATGGATAACAAAATAAAGCCTGTAATTGTTACCTATTTTTTTCTTGACAGGTAAGAAGATAATAGACCTTGATTTAAAATGTTAAAATGGAGATGGTCTGAATCTTCCCTATACTGTTCCAAGGGAATAACTTCCATTGTGTACAAAAACTCTGCAAGAAGCATATGCAACTTAAAAGCACCCAGCAAATATGTACTGGTTAATACACATAGTAGATATCAAGGACTAACACGTTAGTAGGCTAAACGTTAATGTGTTTCCTACTCYGATATAAAAACCGCTGAGACCACTGGCCAGGCAGTTGCACCAGTCAGGTGGAGAAGTGTATGCCTTTGTTGCCCCTTAATGCAGGGTGGCTCTTGTTGTTTCTTGTTTTCAAATYTGTATTTTGTGGCTTTTATACCACTTAAGAGGGAAAAAAATACTTAAGTTGCTAACTGTGGCTGTCTGAATMTGACTTCTGTTCTTATGTACTCCATTTTCTTTAACCTAATGCATCCTCTAAGTACATTTTTCATAGTAAACCTGAGTTGAAGTTACATATCCACCTTGTATACAACTGAATTTTCCTGAGCATTTGAGCTACTGCCTGTAAACAATTTAGYAGAAAGTACTTGGTGCCCAGAATGCAAAAAAAAAGAAGAAAAAAAAATGCTAACTCTAAGGCTGTTGAGGGATGAATGGCTTAACTTAGGAGTGGTATCTGGGCACAGTGCTCAATCTGCTTGGGCAATTCAGCTCTCCTGCAGTTGTTTCTCATTATACAAAAACTTTTCAGAAATCCAGTCTTTGATAAAATGATGAAGATAAGCCTGAAGTTTTGTAGAGCAATATAGAACTGCCTTTAGATATTATTGCATTTGTTTTATGCTTCTAGAAACACTTTGATGGGTGTAATCTCTTTATCCTTTCTAGAAAAGCAAACTGGCTGCAGTTCAGATTTAGCTGAAGATCCTCGTGTTCTTTAGCGGTCCTGAAACTGAGTGGCATGTTCAGCACACTGGTGGACAAGTACCTCTCTACACATKCATTCCTACAGAAATGCATTTTCTCAGGAAAGCAATAACGTTCTGAATGTTCTTTGCATAACTGAACAAATGCCTGTCACTAGCATACTTCTGTCAAAAAAATAGTGCTTGTTGATGGATCACTGTTGTCAGGTCAGCATCTTAACAAAGCTGGCCTGTCTTTACTCAAGTGTGAGAATGTAGCCTTTGACTGGTATTTCTTACTGAATGTTTTTGTGTACTGACTTTATGTGGGCTGTCCTTGAACAAGGGTTTCTTGTGAGCTATGGTATGGGCTCCTGTGTTGCACASAACTGCTTACTGGTGTTCACTTTCTGAAAAGTTGTGTTGTGTTAATGATTTTTTTTCTTAAAGAAAAGCTAAGGGTACTTTTTGGTCCCTTCGGAGGAAAAAAAGTTATTTTGGTTTGAAGTCTTCAACTYGGTGCTCTCCTTAAGCAATGGAAGGAGCTAGAATAAAGCTTGTGCTGACATATGCTGTCCATTTTTATTAATGACTCTTCCCCTTTCTGTATGTCTGTGCCCACGTGCTGTGTCTTCAGCTCTACTCCAATAGCTGCATATCTTGCAGTTACTAGTTCTGCTTTGACCCTAAACAATCCTTTAAAGCAGTGTCACTGCTGGCCCCTTTGAAACACCCAAAACTTGTGTTTCTAATGACATGTTCTTAATTATGCTAACTAAAACCTTTTCTGTAAATGTGAAGCAGAACAGTAAAACAGTTCTGCTGCATGGATACAGTGTGGCAGGGATCCTTTAAGAGCTGCAAGTCTTCATACCTTTTGTTGTCTTCATCCTCACAGATGGAAACAGGATTTTCACTACTAGGATAATGCTGTTCCCTGCTCCCATATACTATACGTTCTTCTCAGACTACTATGGTCTTAATTCTGGAATTTTGGTCGCTTATATGGAAGTCTTTCTTAGTATCACAGATCTCAACTGCTACTGATTATTCCATAAGAAATGCTTGCAAATTTTGGTTTTCTTAGTAGAGACAAGAATTTTAATTAAGACATTCTGAAAAAAAAAAAAAAAAACAGCTGTTAGCTGTTCTTGCAGTCTCCTGTTAAGATCACAGATTATATTAAATATTTCATTAAATCAACATAGGCTTAATGGTGTTGCTTGTTCCAGTTTTGTCTGTAAGCTTAAAGCACATGGGCTGCAGTTYGATGTAGTCTCCCTTTTGTAAGCCTTATGCCTTCAGCAGACATTCCTCACCCTGGTGCTGTCRAAGAATCTCCTTCCAAGAAACTGATCCCTGTTTTGGCTATTAGCCAAACCAACTCCCCTTACTTCACAGATAGCAATGCTAATACCTTAACAAGTGATATGAATGAGGTGTAGTAGAACATCRAGATGATCAGGCAATTGGACTGGGACATGACATACCCCTTTTTAATAGGAACAGAAGAAGTGAGGAATGTCTCATCCCTACTACCTACRGTCATATTGCTGACAGTAGATTAACAAGGAGTGCCCTGCATAAAGCTCTAGCTTTGTCTAAAGAGAATTACGGTAGTTACAACAGGACTGGCCATTTTAGCAGCTTTTGGAAGGGAAAGACTGAGTATAGCAATAAACACAGGACTTGAAAATGGAGGTGGAATAAGTTCATGTAAAAACTCCTTCCCTCATCATCTTAAACTACATTCCCTGGCTTTCAGCATGACTTTTATGATGGGAATTTTCAGCACTATTTCCACAAGCTAGCTAGAAGGAGCAAAAACTTGCTTCTCTTTGAAGCTGTTGCCAGAGCACAGCTAAAATACTTCAGGTAATTTGAAGAAAGTCTTTCACTTATTACTGAACTGCAAAAAAAGGCTATCTGGCTATCTAGATGTGCATTGATGTGAACCTTGGCTTTAGGTTAAGTGTCAAGGAATTCAACTGTCTTTATGAACTTGGTTTTAAGTCAAAAATCTGARTGGTTTAAGTTGCCAGCTGAAGTGACTTTTTTTTTCCTCCAGCTTCCCAGAAAGTAGGTGTGTTTCCAAAAAAATCATTATTTCATCTGAATTAAAAGCTTTTTTACATTTTGGCAGTGTAGCCTGATGCATGTGTTTTCTTTTCCACACCCCAAAAGCTGTGTAGCTGACCACCRCTATCCTGTATCTCAGTAATATCTGGCCAGTATTAGTGTTGTCATGTTCATAGCATTTACAAATGTCTTTGTATTAGTTATTTAGATTGAGCTGTAGACAAATCAATGTTGGTGCCAGGAATAACATTGGCTCCTATGCCGTCCACGAGAGAATCCCACTTACTGAAGTCTCTATTCAGACCTATAAAATGTGGGAGAAAAAAAAAATGAGTTAAGTGGTCTGATTTTTTTAATGGTACACCTAAATCAGATTATAGGAATTTTTAAGCTTTTTTTCATTTTGTCTTCATAARTGAAACAGCTCAGCAATATATGGAAACAACTGTTATGTGGAAAAACTGACATTCATGGTCTTATGTATTAAATATATTAAAACTCACATATTACTCTTCTAMATAAATAATCTTTACAAACTTAGAAAATAGGAATAGGAATTAGTTCTTAAAGAGGGTTCATTTTTAATCTTGTTCTAAACAGTGATTTGATATGAACTTTCAAAATAAGAAAGCATTGAGTCACTCTATACTTACCCAAGTGTTTTTGCAGGAAGGCTAATGAAGCCTGATTGCTAATATCAATAGCTTCATTTGGATCTATTTCTCCTTTTAGTTTAAAAAATCTTCCAATGAGTTCTCCACTCACAAAGGTAAAGTCAGGAAAGCTCTGATGTACTGACCCTCTGTAAATAAAAAACAGTTAACAGCCTCACAGGAATAGAGTTTCCACTTAAAAAGTGACATGCATTGCRAAGTCTTCTTCAAAGACAGTCAACCATCTTATACTGTCAAGCAGATAAAATAAAGCAGATTAATCTTAGGAAGATTAGTATGCACAATTAGCAGTACACTCTGTCCAAACCTCAAATAAGAGGCAACTTTTGTATGTGCTCCTGCAAGTCACCAGAACTGCAGCAGTGGTAGAAAAGTGAGCTTAACAAAACCTGAAGATGATCAAGTTGCCTCCGATGTGTGGACAGGTGAATTGTAGGGAAGTCTGTTTCCTGTGAGCTGTGTTTTTTAGCCAGGAGACAAAGAATGGATTCCTGATACTTACTTGATAGTGATCATTTTCTTGTTTGTATCACTGGAACCAATCTTCTTCATCTTCAAGATGTTATCAGCCCACTGGAATTTTTCAGAGTTGATAAAAAGCAGGGGTTGTTGAACACTATTTTGGTAAATATCATCACCTACGGGAAGCATCCACGCATCCAGAGCAATGCCACACCTGTCAAAAAACAACTGGCTATTGTCGCACAGGTAGAAAGACTTGCAGGGAAGCTTGGAATTGCAGCAAACATGTGAAAGATAAACTGTGTATCTAGGATACTGAAATGATTCAAAATCTAAACATTTAGAAACGACTAGAAGGGAGAGAGCAGTCCATCATTTCATGTGCTGGTCTTCACTACCAGATGCAGGGTCCCACAGTATCATGATAAAACATGACAGAGCTATATTCTAGTTCTCAGGCTTCAAAGAAGCATGAGTTGAGAAGATGGTACTTCAAGAGCTAATTAGCAGTTGAGGGATCTTAGGTAAGGACCTTTTCCCCTCCGCCCCCAACCTCTCAAGTGCCAAATGGCCCTTGCCTTTGTTTTACATACTTACCTGAATCTAATTTCTTTGCTGAGACTCTCTATAACTGTAGCACCACCAAAAGAGTGTCCCATCACAGCTATCCTGCTAGTATCAACAGAATCCTGTCAAAAAAATCCAGATGCTATAAGAGACTTTCTTTTCCAATCTTTTCTTTGAGGAATAGCTTTTTTTTTTTTTTTTTTTTTTTTTTTTTTTTTTTTTTTTTTTTTTTTTTTTTTTTTTTTTTTTTTTTTTTTTTAAGGCACCAGACTGTACCAAGGTTTGGAGACTGTGATTGCAGCTTATACCAATCTACCTATCCAGCTTGAGGTGACCTGAAAATACATTTGTAAATCTAAAGGGTGATCTTAAGAATCGTATAGAGGAATCAGGTATTCTGGGAAACCGGAAACATTATTAGACTTTTAACAAAATGAAATCACTGCCTTCCACTCACCTTCAGGAGGTTCCAGTTAAAACTTGAATTAAGAACATTGGTTACTTCCTCTCCTGAATTAATTTCAAGAATTACATTGAGGGCTTTGATACACTCCTGTGCTCTCTGTTGCACCTGGGGAGAGGAAGATAGAACAGTGGTAGAATAACCAGACAACAGCTAAGGCTGCAGGTCCTTTGGACACAAGATTAGCCTCATCAGGCTTCAGATAATGGCAAGTACTGTACTGTGTAATGGAACTCAGTCTTTGATAAAGAGCAGATCTGACTTGTGGTGATCTAAGAGTTTAAGCTGATCTTCTACACAAGCTGGAATTTATATCCATGGCATAGGCCAAAGACCTGCAACCCCTTCAACCTGTCACTAACAGGTTGTGGGCCTGTACAAAGGCATAAATCACACAGTGTAATTTAAAGCTGACTTGCAGCTCCCTCTTGTGCTCACTTTGATGAGCAAGTATCATTACATAATGAGCAAATGTCATTATATAACATTGGAAATGTTATTTACAAGTTCAAACTCTATGTATTTAGACCCAGAAGTAGGATGCTGCATGCACACAGGAAAGGTCACTTTTACTGCTGTCTGTATGGCCCAGTGAGATGAAATTCTCCCGTTGACTTTTGCTGGGCTTGGATTTGCTGGAAAAATACTTCAGTATTTCAAAGGACAAGTCTGTTGGTACAGCCATATCTTGTCTAGTACGGATGCTGCCTGTAATCAGCAAGTCTGCATTTGTCTGCACTGCTATGAACTGGGTTAAAGTGTATTGAGCAAGACGATGCAATCATTCCCCTCGGAGCAGAAAGGATTCACCCTGCTGTGCAACAGTAAACAAAACCAAGGCAAGCCCAAGCCCACACAAACATTTGGATTCAGCTCCACATAATTTAAAGAACATACGTCACGCAAAGACCAAACAGCCAGAGCTGACTGAGCATGACACTGCAACCCTGCAGGAAAGCTGCACTAAGGAAGCAGTTTATGCTATGCAGAAAGCTCTTGTTGGCTTTCACGTTTTCAGGACTACAGGGCTTCTGTGCATTATTATATATCCACTGGGTCACACTGAAGAAGTATTTGCCCTCAATACAGAGTTCTTCTTCTACATGGAAGACCCTCCCTGCCCAAATATTACAATATTCTCAAGTACAAGCTACTTCATTCCCCCCAAATCCACCTCTATATTTGGCAAACACCCCTTTCATGAGCAAAAAGAGTAACTCTGCACTCAGGGCTTTTGCCATTATAACTTCAGCAATTACAAACCATACCAAAAGCAGAGAGTGTCCTGGCCTTCATCTGTCCTAAACATATCCTGTTCCRGCCTCCCTTCCTAGAGGACAGATCTGTGCTGAGTACCTGCTTGTGGCGCAAAGAACGTTCTTCCTCTCCAGACTTCAGCTTCCTGTAGTAGATCCACTCCTTCTCCATGTTTGATGTAGAGTTTTCCTGTGACTCAGACCTCCTTTTACAGTAATATGTTGCTGAAGCTGATTCATCTCTGTAATACGGACAAAAGGTTATTCCTGAAGATAAATTCCATTTGGTTTGGGAGAAGTCATTCCAAGTTTTATACTTATCTCAAGAAATGCAAGCTCCCAGTAAAGTCAGTGCTACTGCAGTTAAAACTGATATAAACAAGAGATTMTAAAAACAAGGAATTAACCTCACCTAAAGTCCCACAACCTTTTTATCCTMCAAGTTCTATTAATAAAAGAGAGAAAAATAAAATGCTTGACGAATGATAAATGATACCTACCAGAAATCTTTTCAGTCAAGGACATCAAATTCATTTACCTTTATTTAACTAAGGGTTGAGATACAGAAATACAGGGGAGTTTGATGGATACATTAGTTCAGGACTTTTCTTTTTTTTTTGAAGAAACTACAAAAAGATACATCTTTCTACCTCTCTTTAAGACCATTGCTGAGAAAAATCAGCTCTTTTTAATTAAACCAAGTACTTTTTAAATGTAAGATCTCAGACTGCTGAGTTTCTAGCAAGATGAAATCACAGCAGTCGAACAGTATGAAAAGGTTTGTTTCAATTAAAACTCAAAAGCATGCAGGATACCTACCTGTGCTCCACAGCAGCAACTATGAAGCCTTGCGAAGCCATCTCAATGCAAATAGCAGAATAGATGGTCCTGCAAGCAAAACCACACTCTGTTTATTCACACACACCATAATTATTTTTACATGACTCCTTAAACACTAAGCCACATATGTGCTTAGTGTTAGCTCTGTTTCAGTATGTGCTAGCTGTATTTCAGTGATCAGTAAACCAAAACCTCTTCTTCCATTTATTAGCACTTGACTGCAGGGGAGGAATGCTGATACTGATACACTCTGTCAACAGTGAATGCTGTTGATACACTCAACAGATTCAGTTTCARCTATATAGGGATCCAACCCTTTTTTTGCTGAAAAGCTGTTCTGGACCATTCTTAGAAGCTGTTATCTTCATAACAAAACCAGTTTGGCAACAAACTGCAGAGTTACCGAAAAGCTCCAAGTCCATGGGAAAAAACAAGCAGTGGGTATTTTTCTCCAGACTTGAAAGCAGCRTTTGATTTTGCAGGACAGGTCACTGAACCTAGATTGAAAAAAAACAAAGCACATCATTATAATCTACATGAGAAAAAAGCATTGTTTCTTTGGGAGAGATGCCAAGAGTTTCTCTCACACACCAGTGACCATTGATCTCAGAGAAGTCATCTGAGGAATAAGTAATCAAATCTTAAAATGCAAAAGGCAAATGGGGATCTTATTCTATTAATATTTTTTACTTTGCAGAAGACATTTCCCTTCTCATCTGCCTCACACCCTGGCAGGTTATAAGCAGGCTTATATAGCTTTCAAACACTAAGAAAACAGATTTTCAAAGCTTTTAAGCATTCAAGTCTGCTGACATTMAGAGTTTAAAATCTATCTGACCTCTGCACATTTGCAAATTTCTTGGTGGGCTTTAAATCCCTCCACAGTAGATCCTGCACTTGCCCACACTCCAACTACAGCACATCTCCCATACTCCAACATTTATAACAGTCAGGGGCTACGAGTCTGCCCGAGGAGCTGAGTCATGTTCAGTATTGAGCCTTCCCACACAAACCCTTCCCAAACACACAGAGTTCTTCAGGAAAATCTACCTCGTGGTCCTGCAGCAATAACACGGCTCATACAGCAGTGAGGCCACTGRCCTGCCTAACCTCACTGCCTCTGACTAGTCAATAAAACCATAACCAGGCATACCAACATAGTACTGGAAAAGCCTTTCTCCCACAATTCGGTACATGTTGAGGAARTCGGAAAGTCCGTGGTAATACTCTTTATCTGGAATCCATGGTGCCTCTTCATTTTCTGTGGCATCGCATGATGGATAATACAGGCGTAAGAAACTTCCCTGGGATTAAAAACAATTAAATATGTGTGTGTGTGTGTGTATATATATATTATATATATATATATATATATATATATAAACAGAAAAAGACAAAAAACATCTATCGACGCTTCCATTGCTTTCTTTGCACGAGTAGGTCTCCTGAAGCGCTTACAGAGCCAATTCAGCTTGCTAAACAGGGGAAAAAAGGTGACTAACTCCCTAGAGTTTAGTTACCAACGGGTTAGCATGACTGATTTTACTTGGAGAGCAGCTTCTGGAAGCGTGGTCTGGTACACAAGATGTGGGCACAGTCAGAGACCTGTTCTCCACTCCTATGGACATGGAGTAAGTTCATGGTCAGTGTTCCTGTCTAAACTAGGCAAAAGGATTTCTCTCTTGTCAGTAAAGCACCTTGACAGTTGTCCTGTGAAGCAGCAAAATTCATTCTTTTCCCTCCAGCCCCTTGTCGAGATGTTTACAGGTCTGTAGTGGTCCATCACTCTAAATACCATTTTACTACCAGTGGTTTATCTGTCTCCGTTTCCTATTATGGATTTCAATCTCCTCTTTCTGTCCATATTCCAAGTGGTCTTCTAAGCTGAGCAACCTTTCCRCGATAAAGTGGACTCTCCCCACACATGATATGCACATAATTTGCATTCTTACTTCCTGATAAGGGAGTAAGAATGCAAATTCCTTCCTTGCAAGGGAATTTGAAACACACTGTCATAATTCACCTTCTGGCTCTGTTTGTTTGTTTTGGTTTTATTTTGTTGGGATTTTTTCCTGTTTAAGAAAATTAATTCTAAACTGCAGACAAGGCAAGAAACTCAAAAAGAACAACACTTAAACTTTGGAATAAAGTCAAGTTCCTCAAATACTAGTTTATCAGTCTCATATACAAGCTTGTTTAATGAACTTTGTTGCCATTAACAAACTTACATTAATGCTTGTCACAAAGGCCTCTTGGGAATAAAGCATAACCTCTATCCATACTGGTAATTACATTATCTTGATCCCAGAATAGTTCCTGTGAATTTCTCCAGGTAACTAGCTGTTTACAGCATGGAAAACAACTTCATCACACAGTCCTTACAGAACCGTAATCACATGGATCCCTTATCTAATAAAAACCTGTTGCCTAATTCCAGAGACTAATCATTTATTTGTGCTGATACAAAATAAGCATATCAGGGCAGATAAAAACCTATGAATAATTACTGCAAACCCTCTACCTGGTTGGCCTTAACAGTAAAACCACACGACAAATGCAGCAGTGTTATCATAGGAAAAGGAAGCAGCAAGAGAATTTGAGATGGAAACCCATAAACAAGCTCGTTAGCTACCCATTACTTTTCTCCCATCTTCTTGTGGTACCTCCCCATTATGGCACTAACCAGTAGCAGAATAAACATCCTGCTCTTTACAGATACCTACAGTTTTCCTAAAGCACCTTATATTTTACCCTGCAGCTGAAACATTACATTATTTCCTTTACTCTGCCCTGACAAATCCTGATAGCAGCACAGTGATGAAGAGCTGCAACCACAGAAATCAGGTGCAGGCTCTCCCTGGGAGCCAAATAAGCCAGGAAACTGCAGTAAATGAGAGGAACCTCCTGGGTCCCAAGAGGACATCGTTTCTCCATAGTATCTTGCCCAGGGAAATCAGTAGGCAGAGATACTAGGAGAGGAAGTAACTTCCACGTTTCATCCATGCTTGTAAATTTAACCAATCCAGGGATTGCTCTTGGGCATGAGAATTAAATAAATGGAACTGTTAAGGAGTCAGACTAGTTCATGGCCTGTCTCTGCCCCAAGTCAGGTCCTTGAGACATGYTGTTTCCTGGACTGCGCCCAGTGCACGTCCTGTTTTGGGATGGAGAGCAGAGAAAGCCTGCCCAGCTGCATGGGCACTTATCACATACTGCAAACAAACAGGGCCTCCTGCTTAATTCTAGAACTACAGATATTTCTCAGCGCAATGCTGTAGCTTAAATCATAGGGCAGAAGAAGTGGCTGCTTTACCTCAGCTGCATTTTCCGTCATCAGGTCTGTACATCCAACCGAGTGCGGTCCTTTTCCTTCAGGGATCCTGTAAAACTTCTCAGCGTTGTTGCTCCCCATTTCTTTGGGCACCTTAACTGACAAACCTGGGGAAAGACACAAAGCGAGAGGCTTCAGTGGCCCTTCTGACACTTGTCATTGAACCATCCGCACAGAAAAATAACCCAGTGCCCCGAGGGTCCAGAACAGGAAAGTCAGAGGTTTATGAGTCATCCAGTCTGACTTGTTTTTGTAAAGAATTTTCTTAGTCCCGTGGATCAGACAGCACGTTGCCCTAGAAAAGGCAGCGAACGGAAAGGCTTTTGGTCTCTGCACCCCAGAACAAAACAACACAGAACAAAACCAACCCCGAGCGATTGCGCTCAGCCCACTTCCATCCTCTCACRAGCTTCATGGGGCGGTTCGCATCCGTCCCGCATGACCCTGCGGCACTCGCCAGGCCTGGTCTGCCACAACGCGGCGGCGTAAGGAGCGATGTTCCCAGAGCATTTCAGCACGGAGCGCGGCTATCCCGGGATGGTGGTGGCCAGGAGGACCCGTGTGCCCGAGGACGGCACGGTGGCTCCCGCGACATGGTGGCACTCGCCTCTCCCACGCACACGGGGAAGCCGGAGCCTCCGGCTGCGGCTTTTCCTTCCCTCCCGGCCCCGCTGCGAACCCAAGCTGCTCCTCACATGAATGGCACGGGGGAGGTTTCGCAACTCCCTGGTAAACAAGCCCAGTGTACGTGGCTGGTGCAGAGGAATCTCGTGCAGAAGACTGAGAAAAAATATGTAATTCTGCAGCTGTTTTTTCCCTCAAAAGGCACGAGGAAACCCATACTCGGTCACCGCGGAGAGACGAGCAGCAGGAGAGCCGAAGCGCAGGGTGAGGGATGGGGGGACACCCCCACCCAGGGCTTGATCCTAAAAATCCCGCCGTGGGATTTCAGCGCCAGGTCCCGCCGTGAGCGCCCAGCTCGGGGCACTGCTGCCCCCCCAGCATCCCCAGGCCCTCGTCCAGGGGAGGGCAGCGACCCTTGGCTGCACCCCCTCCTTCCCTTAGAAATACATATAAATATATAATAGCAAGCGCCGTGACGTGGCCGGGGGTGCCTCCCGAGCACGGCGATACCCACCGGCGGCGGCGGCAGCAGCGACATCCCGCTCCGCGGGCGGCCGCGGGGCCCCGCGCGCTGCCGGGGCCGGGGCCGGGGCCGGGGCGGCTGCTCCGCTCCGCTCCGCTCCGCTCCTCCCCCGGAAGGGGCGCGTCCTGGCTCGCGGCGCAGGCAACATGGTGCGCAAGCTCAAGTACCACGAGCAGAAGCTGCTCAAGCGGCTGGAGCTGGTGAGCTGGGAGGCGGCGGGCGGCAGCCTGGCCGAGGTGCGCGCGCTGCGGCGCTACCGCGTGGCGCGGCGCGAGGACTACGCGCGCTACAAGGCGCTGAGCCGCGACGTGCGCGCCCTGGCGCGGCGCCTGCGCGACCTGGGCCCCGCGAGCGGCGCCTTCCGCGCGCGCGCCGCCGCCGCGCTGCTCGCCAAGCTGCACGCCATGGGGCTGCTGGGCTCGCGGCGCTCGCTGGCGCTCTGCGAGCGCCTCTCGGCCGCCGCCTTCTGCCGCCGCCGCCTGCCCTGCCTGCTGCTCAAGCTGCGCATGGCGCAGAACCTGCGCGACGCCGTCACCTTCGTGGAGCAGGGCCACGTGCGCGTGGGGCCCGACGTGGTCACCGACCCCGCGCTGCTYGTCACGCGCGCCATGGAGGACTTCATCACCTGGACCGACGCCTCGCGCCTCCGCCGCAAGGTGCTCGACTACAACCAGGAGCGCGACGACTTCGATCTGGATGCCTAGAGCCCGTCGCCCGGCCGGGCCTGTGGACTGCTGGATCGGACACTGCTTGTGTGGCGCCCTCCATCCTGTCCCCGGCTGTCCTCCATCCCGTTCTGAGCGCTCTCTCTGCYGTCCCGAGCCGCTCTCCAGGTCGTGCCATACAAGAGACTCTCTGCTGCCTCCCAAAAATAAACCAGGACAAACTCTCCCCACATTGCGTGTCTGTTGTCCGTGCCTCCCACCTCACGTGGCCTTTCCTTTCCCTCTGTGCTCCGGGTAGCAAAGTGGCTGCTGTTGGACACCAGCCCTGCGGTYGCTGTGTCCCTCAAATCAGCCCGTGCCTTCCCCGCTCCTGTGCGGCACCGAGTTGCCTTGGGGAGCTCGTGCCGCCATGGAGCTCCTGGCTCAGCTTTCCAAGGTAGCCRCGCATGCGGCTCATCCTCCTTGGATGAGGAAGGGCTGAGCACATCCGCAGGTTTCACGGGGTCCCTGCAAAGGCAGCCACATTGGGGGCCAGAGGAGGTAAGGCCAGAATATCCCCTCGGAGCTCGCCAGCCCCGGGCTGCTGTTGCATCGCCGGCCATATGCAGCACAACGGGTGTCAGGAGGGCCTTAGCAGTGCCATAATACTGAGGAAAAGTTCCTCTTGGTCTCCACAACGGCAGCACAGAGTGGCCCGCACAGAGATGAGGGGTGTGGAGAGCCAAAGGCGGCCGTGTCCATACCAGCCACAGCCTGGATGCCTGTCACCTGCGACTTTGGCACCTTACCTTGCAAGATGTGCTCAGAAAGAAACATTTAACAGCAAAACTCTTAACAACAACTCCATTAAATACTTTAAATCCCCATGTGGAACCTGAAAAGAGAGCCTGGAGGGGAGAATGTGCTCATTTTTAGCTAAGGTGGATTGTGAAATGTCTAAATCGGTGTTTCTGCAAACCGGAACGATGGCTCTGAGCTCCCCAGTTTCCCAACGCTCCCATCCCACAGATAAAGCGGACGCCCTCCCGTAGCGTGAAAGGGGTGGGCCTGGATGCTTTTGTTTTAGATGGCTGCTAAGGATAGGGAAAGGAATTTGGAATTTGGACGTCCACTCAGAGTAGCTGCTTTTGGACCCGGCACGCTTGCTGTGGTATTTGGCAACTTTGCTGCTGCTTTTCTGAGACCCACCTTTCCCAACACCACTTTACCCCATCTCTAGCTACCACTTCCCCATTTAGCTGGTGTGCGGAAAGTAGCCAGGGCGACCGCTTTTTAGAATGATTATTCTTATGGTTTATGGGGGAAGCATAAATAGGAAAATGTTTGGAGTCTGAACAGCAACCAGCAGGTAAAGAAGTGAGCTGAGCCAAACAAATACTTTCCATGGGTGGCACAAATATGCTAGAAAGTGGTGTAATGTGTATGGGCTTCCTATGTGCAGCAGGAAGGAACATTATCTGTTGACTGTTGGGGATTTTGATGCCTGTTTGCCTGTCTTTCCTAAGCAGTGCTTTTGGAAAGCTCGGCTGCTTCGCTGCTGATGCATCTGCTGATGCTTCGTGGGTGCTGGTGCATCTCAGGAGGCCTGGATGGCCTCCAGGCTCATCCGGGAGGTGTTCTGGTGGGGAGGAACTGAAACTGTGCCCTCCTTGGCCAGAAACGGAATTGAAAGAAGATACAAACGTTATTTGCCTACGGAGCTGCAGGTTGGAAGAGAAGCCGCGCTCTCGGCATGGTGACTTCCATGTGTCCAACTGAGCGTCCATCACCCTTTACGGAGCAGGGTCTCAGTGAAGCTGCCAGGTAGCGTTAACACTAGGAATGAAAGCTGGCCTGGTCCTAACTGCCTGGCTACTCCTCTGCATTCAGCCTATAAGCCAAATAAAAATCAGTACTTGAGTGGAGCCTAAGGCTGCTGGGAATGTTATTCCCCTCTGGAGAAATGCTTTTACATTGTTTAGAAAAAGTGTGTATCTTAGGATGTGCTTTCTCCAAAGATTTCTTGTGGTTTCTCTATCTCCCCTTAGGCCTTGTGTATCATCTTGCAGAGAAGGTTTTTTTTGAAGCTTTCCGTCTCTTGTTTTCTTTAGAGGGGGTAATTTTGTAGTTATAGATTATTACAGAGGTAAAAGGATATAAAAATAAAGGATTATATACGTTTATAGATATAGATATTTTCCCTATAAATGCTTTCTTTGCCTCTAACCACAGATACCAAAGGAATTGATCAAACTAGGAGAGGAGTTTCAGAAGCTCCAGCAGTCTGTTTTGGGTCCAAAAGGGTGGATTGCAGTTCCCAGCAGAGCCAGGGCTCTGGGTGCATTAGTGCAGCTTTTCTTCCCCTGGGTATTGAGGTCAATTCTGCTCCTAATTCAATAATGCAGCAAGTATTTTGGCAGTTTCTCCTGAAAGCAGCTAAATGTTAACATTCTTACTACCCAAATGCCATTGAGCAGAGCATTAATTTTAGAAAAAAAATATATAAATAGGATGACAAAAGCAATTGGGGAACAATACCTTCCCTGTTTTCCCCAGGTTGCTATTTGAACTATTCCTATTTATACTCTTTTAATAAAACATCATATTTAATACCTTGGAAAATCTTTTCCTGAGGGAAATACTTTGCTTATGTTGTTTTTGTTTTTAATAAAAAAAGTAGAAATTGAAAAAAAAAAAGTCATACCTGTTGCAAGACTTTTCATAAACACCTTTCCAGTTTTCATCCAAAATGCTGTCATCTTTTCGGGGGAGATTTAGAAAGTGTGTAAGCCGGGGGTGGCTGCGGCGGTGCGCTCGTCGTGCTTGGCTTTTTGGGGGAGTTGAAGCAGCAGCTCGGTGACACCCGCCTRTTGCCCAAGAGCTGTGGTTTTGCATCGTGCTGCTGCGCAGTCGCTAAGCTGCCGCTGCCCCAGGCCAGCACATGCATCCCCCCAAGAAACGGGAAAACGGGGAAAAATGGGTCTGCAAAGGAGGAAGGCTGGCAGAGGGAGGAAACAGAGACATCCGAGGATGTGGTAACTCATTGTGGGCCAGACTCTCTTGCTTGGGGAGCAGGGAATTGCGGGCACCAGGAGCCAGTGCCTGGGCTGGCGGTCCCGGTGACCTGCTCAGAAGTATTTGGGGAGCTGCAGGTATCGTCCTTGGGAGCACCAAGGCTGGGGCTGGATGGGGGAGATCTCTACAGACCTGTACCTGGTTAAATTAACTGGAGGAAAAGCTGCCAGGCTTTTCCTATTAAATTTAACAGGCTTTCCCTATTAAAACTGTGCTCTGGGATGATAGTATCCAACACTGCTACTCTCTAATCTGCTCACTCAGMAGTAATTTTCTTACTTGCTTTTAAAAAAAGGTACATTAAAAGTATTTTTTAAGAAAGCTATGCCTTCACCTATGTCAGCATTTGTATTGTGAGGAGGTCTGCTCTCCTGTTGGTTTTACAGAAGCTGAGATAAAACTGAGATGAGTGTTGAGCTGTTGAATTCTCCGTGGCTTCATCCAAGGCAAGCCCTGGCTACACCCACGGGAAGTCTGGAGCCAGGCCGAGCAACAGCACAGGGAGGGAGGACGGGCAGGGAAAAGCCGGAAAACAGCTAGGACGGCCCCGCCGTGCTCTTAAATAGAAACAAAGGCTTGCTTTTTTCTTTTTTTTTTCTTTTTTTTTTTTTCCTGATTCCAAGGGCAAGATCCAAAGCCAGTATAAATCAGCACTGACTTCCATGAGAATCTGCCCTTGTGCTTTTCTGTGCCAAATCCTGCARGCTTCTTGTCTCCAGTGCTGCCCTGGGTTATAACAGCAAGAGTTTTCCGCAAGTAAGAAAGGCAGGATCAGGTTCTGGGCCATCTCTGTGGCCAGTTTTGCTGCTTGCTTATTTCCAGAGCCTCCTGAAGTGTGTTAGCTATTCTGTTATTACCAAGCTCTGCAGTAGCTCTGAGTGCAGGGCAAGTTACTAGTCTAGAAAGATGACATTGGCATCCAGGCTAGCTGCCCTGATGGGATCTCTGAAAATGGACAGAACTCTAACTCAAAACAGCACCTCTGCTGTGCTGCCTATTATGAGCAAATTAACGCTGTGGCCTTGCAAAGGGTGAAAGCAAGAGTGACAGTCAACTTTTTTTTTTTTTTTTTTTTTAACTAGTGCAAAATTAAAACATCCTGTAAACATTGTAATGGAGATTGTATCTCTTGAGAGAGGAAGCAAGTGCAGAGCTGAGTTATGTGAGGTGCCTTAAAGCAACTCTCATGTGAGCACAACTTGTCAGAAGTTTCTTGCTCTCCATTTAAAAGTAGGCAGTGGCAAGGGAGGTTTTATCAGTGCCTGCTCTTTTTGTTGTTGTTGTTGTTTGCTTGTTTTTATTTGAGTATTCCTGATGCTGGCCTGCACTTTATTTGAAGCCTGCCAAGGAGGAAGGACTGAGTCAACGGGACTGCCAGGCTGGAGAATGTGAAAATGGGAATGGGAAAGGAAGCCTCCCTCAAGTTTGGCTCCAGCTAGCAGAGATGCTGTCTGAAATGCAAATATGCGGTTCTTCAGGCGCTTTTTACAGAAAATAATGTTTTAGAGGTTACTTCTGCTTGGCATCTTCAAAGCACCAGGCACGGTTAGTGAAGAGATGATGCCTGCCCGAATAATTCTTTTGGCAACATCCCTGTGGTCACCTTATATCCCCATTTGGAAGATAAGGAACTGAGAGAGAATTAGGAGCCACTTGGGTGAAGCTGGGCAATTCTTTGCTAGTCCAACACAAAGATGGTCCTGCTGCGGAGCATGATGTGCCACAAACTGAGGTGCCACCATCCTCCTTTTGAGCCCTGAGTCGGGTGACCCAATYGAAGTGGTCCTCTGTGAGATTTCGCACTGGAGATTGGCTCTGGGAGGGAATTCTCACTGCTGGGGGAAGGGATCGCCCACTAATCTCTACCACGTGTTTATAAAACAACTCAGCCCTCACAGGGCCTGGAAAAGAAAAGCCCTAGTGTTAAGACAGCTTCCATCTGGGACACATGGGTTCTGGTCCCCATTCTGAGGAACGCTAGGCATCTAGGCCATGCTCCTCCTCAAGCTCGTTTTGGCTTGGTGCTTGCTGTTTCAGGCCTGACATTGGCTTTGTGCATTGGAAGGTTTTTCTGCTGCAACATAAGGGACGTGGGTGACACTGGGCCAAAGGAGCAGGTCGTGGCTTCAGAGTAAGCAGAAGGAGGCACTTTAGATGCCCATCAAGGGGTGTGGAAATTGCCTGGTATGGAGCATGATGGGCACCAAGCGTTTAGGGGATTTCCAAATGTGGTTAACCTTTCTGATGCGTAGCGTTTCCTAGGGGCAGAGACATGCTGCAGTGTGATTTCTGTTTTTTTAAGACTTCTGCTCCTGATGTTACCAGGGAAGCCTAGAATTAATTCCATCAACAAGCCAAAAATGTGCCACTGCAGCATGTACATCTCTGTAAACCTAGGCCTGAGTCACATGCCTGGACTCTCACAGATCCAAGAACTAAATTCAACTGTCCAAGTGTACGTTCTCCATGAGGAAAATCCCTGCTCTCTTCTATACAAGTATCCCCCCACTTGCAGAAAGGTCCCCTCCATACATGCACACTAATATTAGGTGATTTTGAGTAGAATAAAATGTCCAACTTCTACCAGGTGGAGAAAAACGGAGACCAACCAATAATCACAGGTAGAGGGGGGCAGTTTTGTGCCCACAGCAGCAAGCCACAGGAGCTTCTCAACTGCTGTAAATCATATCAGCAGGATGGGCAAGTGTAATTCTACCCTTCATTTCTACCCAGGATAATCTCCTCCCTTTCCTCTGGAGACTTGACACCTACTGTTCCAGGAATGACCTGAATGGTCTGTGACAGGGGTAAAGTACAGGCTGATTCTGGAAGTGGGTTCATCTGACTCATAGGTGACTATGCATTAGACTCAATATCTCTGAGGTCACTGTGCTTAAATCCTACTCGGGGGACCAATGTCCTAAAAGCACCATCTCTGCTGGCAACCAAGATGAGGTTTAGACATCCTGCCTTGTCTTGGGTGAAAAGACTCTCATGCCGGCTGTCCAACCAAAGCCCCTGTGCTATCAGTTGCTGTTTTTGTGTGGAGTTATAAAATGATTTAGGTTGGAAAGAGCCTCTGGAAGTCATCAAACTAACCTCTGCTCAAAGCAGGGCTGATGTCAAAGTTTGGGTGAGTCACTCAGCCCCTTGTCTGAGTTTTGAGTAGCCTAACATGGAGATTCTACAGCTCTGTCCCAGGGGGCAGTCAGTTAAAGTCAGTTTAAAGTCAGTTACAGACTTTGTTGTGATACATGCGTATACACACCCATATATATATAATTGTTTTTTTCTTCCATCTGGTCTCAGTTTCTCTTCCTGCAATCTGTGCGTGCTGTTTCCCRTCTTTTCACTGTGTGTCTGGGAGGAGGGTCTGGACTGGCATCACTTTTCCCTCTGGAAAGTTTTATTTACCTTCCCCCTTAACTCGCTCCATGCACACAGCAGCGCAGGGACATGTCCCCTTCTCCCTCCTGCCACAGCCCCGCCATCCCAGAGGGACACCAGAGCCTGGAAAAGAGCAAATCCTTGGCAGGGCACAGGACGCCCTTTGGGAAAGGCTGCGAGGCAGGAGCCGAGCGGCTGCAAGCGGGTGAGGGGAGCACCGGCAAGCCGAGCAAGAGRCCGTGCAGCAAGTCACCTCCCGGAGCTCCTTACCATCCTCCTGACTGCCCCTGCGCTCTTCCCAGCTGCTTCCCAGGGCTTCTCCCCGCTGTGTCAGCGCCTGCCGCCACACGTACCTTGTGCGCAGTGTCCGGGCCCCTCCGCAGCCGCCGCCGCCGCYGCTGCTCCCGTGGGCAGGCCGCTCTCCCAAGGGGAGGGACCAAACTTTGCCTCAGTTTTCACGCCAGGCCGCCTTCCCGGGAGAGCCCTTTCCCAGGACYGGGGCCAGGCGCCTCAGGCGGCAGGAGCCGCGCGGCTGCGCTTGGCTCCTTGGTGGCGAGCGCCGCGGCTCTGCGCCTGTGTGCGCCGGCCCTGCGCGCCACGAGCGCTGCCCTCCACGGGCGCCCCAARCCCACCCACGGCCCGCAGCAAGAGCGGAGAGAGCTCTTCAGAGGCCCATGAAACGGCTCTACCAGCTTGGAGCAAAGGGAGGGAGGGCAACGTTTAGCTTGGCCTAAGTTGATTGGGAATTTGTGCCCTGGGGAGCCACTGGGATCATTCGGTTTCTCCCTCTCCCCTGGAAAGCTCGGTTATGTTTTGGAACTTTGAATTTTGCTGCTGCTTCCTCAGAAAACAATTAAGCACATGGCATGAAAGCACCTAAGAATTTTTATTTGTTTTTGACTACTCAGTGAAGGACTGGATGCATTAAAGTGTATCATCACTTGGGAAAAATCATTTTCAAGTGTAGGTTTAATGCTGATGAAAGGCCTTGGAGGATAACACTGAGGAGCTGTTTAATCAATGAACAGGTTCTTCAGGGTCAGTGAGGAAATTGTGGAGGTGAGGGGTGTACAAGTGGTACAAGTGGTTAAATTAACACTGGCATGCCAAAGCCAACCCTGCTTTTRTCAATCAGAAAGGAACAGCAAAATCTTTTATTTTTTTTTAATATGGATTTAACATGCCTCTGATTCTGCATGCAAATTATGTGATTTGAAGGAACTGCAAGGACATACTAGGTGTCAAATGAAATTGTTTATTAATTAATCTGCAATGTGCAAGCTCTAGCTGAAAATGCCCAGTGCAGCTTTGGCAGAAGTTTGGTGACATTTGAAGCAGAGAAATAAGTGAGGGTAACTGTGGACTCACAGACTTTTTAAAAGAAATACACTAAGTACAGCTACACCAGCAGCATTCCTCTGCATGTAGGTGAAAGAGAGAGCCAAGTCTTCTAAGGGACGTGGGATGCGCTGCTGGCGACACTGCAGAAGGTGGGATGGCACCTAAAAATATCACCTAGATTTGGGGCACATGGATCCGCTTGATGTGCTGTTTAAAGCCAGTTTGCTGGAATGGTTTTCCCTGTTTGTGCCCAGGGCTCGGTCAAAGTAATGTGTTTCTCTTGGGGATGGTTGGTGCCCTAACCGCCAAGGGCACCCATAGGTGCGGGGTCTGATTCCCTCTGTCTCATTGTACAAAATGAGGGCTCATTCCCTCCGTCCCCCTTGTACAAAAGCAGGCGGATGCTATTACCATTCATTTGGTCAGACCAGAGAAAACGTCTCAATAGGTTTCCATTCTTGGGCTATTTGATGATAGGAAAGCGTGSTGATCCCTGCAAATAGATTAAATTGCCTGCCAGCAGAGCAGCTAGGAGGCCTCGTCCAACACAAGTATTTTCAGTCAATCTACAGTCCTGCAGGGGCTTAAAATCTACTTGCATTTCTTGATCGGAGTCTGTTGTTTGGGGCTAGGAAGTGCCAAGCAGAGCCATGAGAAAGAGCTTTTCTAAGCCCCATGGCATGGCTTTTTTTTTTTTTTTCTTTTTTTTTAAAATAAAGCAGTAGCAATAATAGATCTGTAGCATTAATGAGGGAGGAGCTGGTCTCCATGGCAAGTGAGTAACAACAGAGCAAAGGCGAATGTTTGGTCTGGGCTGGCTGTTCTTTAGCAACATCCTTGAGAAGTGCAAGTGGTTTTGTCTAAGAGCGCCCTTTGTATAATGGCACTTTGCTCCAAATTTCTGTATTTATAAACTATGTACTGCTACTAGTCTGTGATCACTGGTTTTAAGACTAATTAATTCTTTTTTTTTCTTTTTCTTTTTTTTTTTTTTTTTTAATGCAGACACTATGTGATGCTTCTTAAGAAGAGAGGAGCTGATACACTGGGGAACATCATCTAGGTGAAGTTGCACTTATAGCAGGTAGTTTCCGAAAAGTGCAGCATGACAGAGCTTCACGAAGCTGCAGCCTTGGGGGATTATGACCAAGTGGAGGAGATTTTGAAGAAAGGGCACTGCGATCCAAACTGCAAAGATGTCGACTGGAATGACAAGACCCCTCTGCACTGGGCTGCTGCGATAGGTAAGGGCACCCCATGCTCTACGACCTCTGCAAATCATAGCAGGGATGTCTTGAAATGCAGTGCCGACTATATGTAATCTGCAGTACAGACTATAGTTATGTCTGGCCTTGACAATTAAAATTTCTAACTATCCTTTGTCCTTGGTGAGAAATAAGGAGGAAAATAATCATTTTAAATGGGGATTTTACTTGCAAAATAACTTGTGGCATTATATCCAAAGTGATCTTCTTTTGCTTTGCTACCTTTTATGAAAACTGTAAATTTTCACAATATTCAAATGTAGGGTGTCTRCTTCTTCTGTATGAGAGAAAATAGAAATAACTGGGTTTTCATTTTTAAAGCAATTCTACAAGTTATAGAATTTTGAAGCTGTGTGAAAAACAATTTCAGTACATCTCATATACATCTCATATAAAATAAACTTATAGTACGGATGCTCTCAAGTTTTCCAATTGATACATTTTTTAAATTTATTATTAAACTTATAATTTACATTGGTCTAAAAACYTAATTGAAACAATGAAATAGTCAACGTCCAAGTAATTGATACRTGCTGCTCAGAAAGTATCTGAAAACTCTTTGACATTATTGCTTCCTTTTTTTTTATTAAATGGTTCAGGAAAAGGTCTACTTTGAAAAATCAACATTTTCTGCGGARTRTATTTACTTCATAAGGAAAATTGCCAGGTCATGGGTGCAGTCTAACCTATTTTACATGACTTGAGGGTTTTATAGGCCTGAGCAAAAGTTTGCAACTCTCTTCTGTGTCCCSGTGGTATAAAATCTAATACATGTGCAYTTTTCCCTGTGTCTTTTCTGCAATACTGCCAGGGCAATCGGAGATGGTTAGGCTGCTTGTGCGTCACGGGGCTCGGCTGTGCTTGAGAAGCGACGTGGGTTGGACGGCGGCTCACTTTGCGGCYGAGGCCRGGCGCCTGGCTGTGCTGAGGACCCTTCACGCCCTGCACGCCCCTATGGATGCGGCTGATCTCTTCGGTGATACCCCCAAGCGGCTTGCAGAAATCTACGGGCACAAGGACTGCTTCAGGTTCTTAGAAATGTGAGTAGCCAACGGTGTTTCAGCACCTGGTGAAGCAGCTGAATATCACAGAACCATAGAATCGTTATGGTTGGAAAAGACCTTCAAGATTTCAAGTCCAAACATAAACCCATCGCCACCATGGCTACTAAACCATGTCCCTCAGTGCCTCATCTACACACTTCTTGAACGCTGCCAGGAACGATGACCACTTCCCTGGGCAGCCTATTCCAATGCTTGACCAAAGCACYGGATGCTGCAGCAGTGGAAATTAAATTAACTACTGCATAGAAATGTGGRCCTGCCCACATAAGGCCTAGCAAAGCTGTTAAGAGTGAGACATGCAAAATACAGATCCTCAGTGTGGACATTTGCACAGCAGGAAGCCAATGGGAAAATAATCCTTTATTCCACTGTCTTATGTGTTTTGCCCTGGCAGATCTTCAAAAAATATTACCATTTCCTGAGCTTTTGAAAAGTATACCGTTTCATCCATTAGTAGGCGTTGCAACGTTATGAAAGGCTATTGCTTCCAAATTTTGCTTCTAACTTTTATCCATTACTATCTTTTTTTTTTCTATTTTTCATGTTTAGCTTTATTATTGTGTATTTTTAATATGCATTTATTAGGCATTCATTTTTTAACATATATTGTCACTCCTCTATATGCCACTAGTAAATTGCGTTTTAAAGGATTCTCCGTTACTATTCCTGCTTTCCAAATGAAGTATTTTCTCCCCACTAAGCTGCCTCACACWTTTTCCATTTTTGCAGAACTGGCATAGAGTAGATCTCAAGCCTCTCACTTAGCTTATATAACTTCACTTAGCATAACAAGTAGGTCTTTCTTCTGATTAGCTGGGCTCCTGAGTCGTTTATGAGACTCTATGGCTTGCCCAGCATGGGACTCTTGGCAAGAAATCACATTCCTCTTTCTCTGGATTAAGCTGTAGGCCTCCTGTGAGTCACCACTGCAACTTCCAGACTCTGGGAATGGCCAAGATAGATTGAGGATTTTCCTTACTTTCTATGATTTTACAATGTCATTGTGCTCCTGAGTTGGAATCTTCCTCCTTTCTGCAATATTTTCAGGACTGTTTGAGCACCATATAAGTGGATGCTTACTGTATGTACACTTTATCCATCTCCAAGCCTTCAGTTTACCTTGAACATTGCAGGGAAACCTCACATACAGTTTAGCAGTGCAGATTAGACTTGGCCCTTACAGTGCTCTTTCCAAAATGCTTCTGCTTCTCATTCCTGCTGGGCTTGGGGTTATTGAGGAGCAGAGCCCAAGTTCTGCAAAGTTCAAAATCAGGCATGGTGACCATGCAAATGCCTGAGAAGGCCAGGCCCTGATCAGAATTGCCTTTCAGAAATCAGTGTTTCCACATACCCTGTAAACCTGTCTGTGTAAAACAGTATGGACCATGTAAACAGGAGGAATACTTTGTTATGGATCATCAGAATCAGTTTTGGGTATTTGCCTGTCATGCATAAGGGCATGAAGAGAGAGAGAGAAAAAAATAAGATAATGTCCTGAATGTCTGTGCCAAACGCAGGGCTGGGATGCATTATCTAAAGAGGAGTATAAACATCTAAATCAATCTTAAATCCTAGTCCTCCCTCTCCCCTGCTGCCACTAGATTCTTCTGGTGTCCAAAGTCAGGAGGCGCCTCCAGACACCGCTGTGGTGCTCACTGGGTGCCCTTGAGTCAGGGGCTTGTTCAGGTTCAGACTTGCCATTTCTGGCCACTAATGAGCTCTTGTAATGTGGATTTGAATGGAAAAGCTTAAATACTTTAAATTGAATTTAGGTCTTAAATTCTCCCTCTAAGGCTCTGAAAAGGCCTCAAACCTGTTA